TTATAATATACAAATTAAACAATCAAATCACAAAATTAATTGTTTTGAAAAACAATCATGAAGAAGCATTAAATGCTCCAAAAAAAAGTTAAATTAAGGGTAATTTAGACATTTGACAACAAGAAAGTAACATTTTTGTACAAATTGTATGCACATCAAAGTTTGTGTGCATTTTCAAAAAAAAGTGACATTTTGGTAAATTCCCCTTCTTTTTATGTGCACTTCCAATATCCACAAGATCTGATTGAACTGCATACTACCTCATGCCAACGGGGTTTAGTACTTCTAAAACTTGGTTTGAAGAAAGTGGTCGAAGTTCCTAGTGTCATAAATAGCATATAGGTTGAATCACTTTTTCCTTTCCTCAATAGTTCTGAGTTCTCTATGATCTCAAATGTCATGTCTGGTTTGCCACCTATCTTTTCCTGTGTAGATCCTGGAGGGATTGGGGAACTTTAAACGCATTATCAATGAGATAATGTTCTTTCCTGTAGTATTCTTTTTTGTATAATATATATCAAGATTTGGTACATCTGTTAGGAACATGTGACTTCCATGGTCCCTGCAACTTCATTCTTCACTTGCCTCAATCACAAGGAGCCTGCCCACAAGTAAGCTTGTGTATATTAAGTCAAGGTACCTGGACTAGAGAGATGTTAGATTAATTTTATAGTTCAAGTCGGAGGAACAGACAAATGAACTATCACTATTCATGAATTTAGCTGCATTCTTTTGAGGGCACCTTGTCCTCCTTGAATGTGATTGAAACAGCTTCAGTGCATGCATTATTTCAACCTACCTTTTTCTAACATTTGTATGTACTTGACATCGTCCTTGAACGAGGACCATATAGTTCGTGTGATCACTGCAGCTATGATATTATTGAATAAAGGCATTGCATTTCATGATTGAGGTAGACAAGCTCTTTTTGTAGTGCGGGAACATCGCTTTTCACTTTACGTTTAGTCTTCGAGATTATAAATGTGATAAACTGAACTTTTTCAAGATGAACATCATCAGAAACATGTTGGTAGATTTGCAGCCATGAAATATTCATTAGGCCCACTAATCTTGTTGAGCTGGAATCCATGATTATGTTATATGGTATATGCTCAGATGATCTAAATTTGGACATGATGGCATGTTATATTCATTTGATAAAAGTCTCTGAATCGAGACGAGTAATGCTATGCATAATAAGCGACTATCGTAGTCATTTTATGTGGCATATGTTTAATAACTTGAACATCCAAAATTACCAAGGAAAGACTTGGATTGGCACTAAAGCTTTTATTAGCAAATGAAGCTGAAATCCCTGAGCCGGGCCATCTTGTGACCATTTTAGTTCTTTGGATGGTTCTATATGTTGACATACTCATTATCGTGTAAAGAATGCATGAATGGCAAGTTGTACATTAGGAAAATAACCGAAGATTTTAGTTGAAGTGATTGAAGATCTGTTCATATCATTCCGTTTACACCTCTGTTACATGGCATGTTTTACTAATTTTTTAAAAGACTATTGCTACATTTGCATTCTTCCTTTTACCTTTATTTACACTCTTCCACATGACAACATTTGTACACTTGATTTTAAACCAATCCTTCACATCACTACATAGATTTCCTCCACATAGGAGGAAATGTCAATCAAGTTGTCATGCAAGATGTATATATAGCATTATTCTTGAAAAGATCCTTGAACAGGAAAGATAAATTGCCCATGACCCATCAAACGTCTTGTCTAACTTTCTTGTCATTGTACATGTGTTTGTGTTTTACCCATTTGGTATGAAAAGACTCGACCAAAACCAAATTTGTACCAGAAACCAAATATGGTTGATTGCAAGAATTTCAAATTGAAATAAAAAATATTTGAATCATCATAACTACTTGCTTAGAAAGAGAAGAACCTAAATAAGAATATCTAATAACATGGTGACATATTTGTAAAAAAAATTTCCCCTTTTTTTTGGGTTCCTCCATCATTATCTTCACAACGAGACTATTGTTCATTTATCATTATGGAAGATCCTCCTCTTGGAGTTGAAAAGTTTGTTCAACTCTGCGCAGTTTTATAATTTTTTCACCAATGATTTGAAGTTGAAGCGTGATTAACGTTGAATCTAAATGACCTAATGTTGGATAGATTCACTTGGTAGCTAAACCTCTTGATAGTAAGGTAGTAACATCTAAATGTGTGAAGTCATAGGAGCAAGATACAAAATCAGGAATTACGAAAAAAATAAATAAATAAATAAATAAAATAAAATAAAAATAGATCTACTTTTATTTGATATTTTGCATGTTTTTTACTTGTTACTGAGAAAGAACGAAAAGTATTATCGACAATATTTTAACTTTTTCGAAAGGATTTTGCCATTGAGTATACTTTCCCGAAACTAAAAGTGCTCTAAAATGTGTCGATCCAATTCAAAATATTGTGCATTTGAAGGGCTATGGTTGCCATGTGGCCCTACTTTCAATGGAAGGACACATGACATTAAGTCCTGTTTGACATCCTTAATTTCAGTTTTTTCTTTACATATTCATTTTTAACCACATTAAAATAATAAAATATTTTAAACATAAATCCAAAATTTTCCTACTTTTCAATCATACATTCTCAGAAAACTTACTATTCAAAACTTTGTTTTCACCGATTAATGGCAATCAAACAAGGCCTTAGCTGAGACTTCTGAAATTTGACAACGTAGCTTTTGTCATTGGACCACAAGGAAAAAGAAAGAGCGGGTACAAAGTTGAGTGACCATTAAGAAACAAAGCTACATCCCTTACATGGGCATCATTTTCATGACTTTCACGTTTGCTTTCTACATAATAACTTTTTGAGAAAGTTATCTTAATTTTTATTTGAAAACTAATTTTTAAATCAACCTTCTATTCTAAAAGTGTTTTAAAGGAAGTCACATAGGATCAATTTTTTCTAATAAAAAATGGTACTTTCATAAAATTAATCAAACGAATCTAAAAACAACTTTAGAATCTCAAAACTTCTTTTTGATTTTTTAAAAGTTATACCAAGTGGGCCAATTTGACCATGTTTAAATGTACTTTTCTATATAGTACTTATTATTAAAAAAAAAAAAGTTGAACCACAATCTTAAGAGTCCTCCACCGCCCCGTCTCTGGAGCATCGTGAAAGAAGTTAATCGCAGGATGTGTCCCAACAAATCAGGGAACAAGAGCTGCATGTACAGTGGTACCCTCAAAGAGTCACAATCCATGTTTTAGGAATCGAACCCTTATATTGCGGTTGTCACCAAGACTGAGTATATCTCATCCTTGTCCTTTACACCGCTGGAATATGTCCCGAGGGACTTTTAAAGTTAATCGAAACATGCTTTAAAAGTTCAAATCAGAAATTACAAACGGTGTTAACTTGGTGCCAAACTTGATCTAATACACAGCTTGCTGAAATTTTCATAAAAAAATCACAAATGCTGAATTAACGTGGGCAGTCAATGGATTAGTTTATGTTTTGGTCAGCTAGGAAACGGGGTAGTTGACTGAACTTACTACCTACGTTAATACAAAATTACACTGCAATAATTGCATGTTTCGATGTTTTAGTTATAAGACGAAGAGAGAAAGTTGTGTATGCTCTCACTACTGAAAAGATAACGGCATATATGCTTAATTGACACAAAAGATAAGATTACTTGTTCGAGTAGGAGGGCAAATCACGTAAGCATATTTACCGTCGTAGTAAAAAATTTTGAAATGACTTTTGAAAAGTTAAAAAATAAATTAATTAATTAATTTAAGACTCAAAAACTGCTTTTGAACTCATTTTTGGCTAATTTTATGAAAACATTTATTCTAATTACAAGAGTTTTAAGAGGAAACTGGTTTAACGTGATGTCCTATAAAAGTATTTTTTGAATCGGAAATTTTTTTTAAAAAAATTGGTTTTGAAACAAAAATTAAACCCATGTTTGTCTCCCTTATTCTCAAAACTTTTTTTACTTATACTTATTTTCAACCACACATTTATGCGATAAAATATTTTTCATGTAAATTCAAAAAAATTTCCTACTTTTTAATCATACATTTTCCATAAAATCACTATTCAAAAAATCACCCCCAACCCCCCCCCCCCCCCCCCCCAAAAAAAAAAAAAAAAAATTTTTTTAAAAGGGGGAAAAAAAAAAAAAAAAAAAAAAAAACTTCGCCAGTGCGGAGAGTTGGCAAACTCTCCGTACCAAAAAAAACCTTTATGCAGAGTGACAGTCACTTGCGTTGCACGAATTTTGTATTTATCGTATTTTTATTAGTGTATGAATTTTAGTTTTTTTGAAAGTTTTTGAAGCAATATCTACAAATATTTCCCCCCCCCCCCCGGGCCAAAAAAAAAAAAAAATATATTCTTTAAAAGGGGAGACAAATAAAGACTAACATAGTTTCCTCTAAAAATTCTTATATAGGAAACCAAAATAAAACCAAAAATTATGTCGAACGAACCCTTATATTCTTTTTCATAACCCCTCCGTTATGCAAGATTCATGCTATAGATAATCAATTGTGACTAATCATCAATTAACATAACAATGAATGACGTACCACATAAACTCGTGTGTTATAACGATGCCATAATTGAACCTCCCCACCCCACCCCCCTCTCCCAAACCCCAACAACCAACCCCCTCGCTCTCTCCCTACTCCAATCCCTCTCTCTCATGCACACAAGGACGAATGATCCTTCATTTTGTTCATACCCTCTATCGCTCTATTCAAATCACGAATCTCATATTTTAAACCACTCAAATCGATGACTCATGGAACCTCAAACTAATCAAATTACATAAATAACAAAGCGATACATATATGTCAATAGGATGACTATCTCTAATCTTTCGCCATGAATAATATTGTTCTCCTCCCACCCAATTACTCTTCTTAAATTTGTTCATACCTTATTTTTCTACTTGGACAAAATCCTAGAAATTCACACCAATTTTGTTTCTATTACTACGAGAAACAGGAAAAATATTGATTTTGTACATTGGCAATAGCAAAAACCTTGAATCCCAAGATAACAACTTTATGCACATATATATTAAGCCAAACTGATCAAATCCAAAGATGTATTCCTGAACCCTATATATCGATATCGAAGATAACACATAGTAAAGATAAATAACAAGGGAAAAGAAGGCATCAAAATATGACAATTTGATATTTTTAAGTTCACCAGGAATCACCATCTTTCGCGTAATTTTACATCTTACGCTTGCCGGACTTGGGTGGCCGGCGGCGGTCCTTGTCATTTTTCGCGAAAGCACTGCAAAACCCACAAGCTGAAACCTTGGGAGACGGCGGCTCTATCGCCGGAGACACCCTTCCGGTCCGAAATCCCCTTCCTCCGCCGTTGGATCGGCTCCTTTCGATCGTCAACCCGGCAGTTCTGGATGAATTCTTGGGTGTTGCTGGTGCTGGTTCTACTTTGTCTTCTTGATGTTCTTGTTGAGCTTTATTTTCAGTTTCTTCTTTTTGATTAGCCATTTGAGTCAATTCATTCAAGAATTTGTCTTCCCATACTAATCCCGAGGATCCTTGTCGTCTGAAAGATATAGCAGATCTCTGCAAGCCAGCCATTCAAGATCTGTACACACACCCTCTGTCTCTCTCTCTCTAGATGCTTTAATTGTGAATGTTTAGACTTTCCTCAGTGTGTATAATAATGTGTGTGTGTGTCTATATATATAAAAGAGAGTTGATAAGATATATATATATATATATATATATGATAAGATATATATATATATATATCTTATCAACTCTCTTTTATCATCCCATTTATACCGAAATTATCATGTAACTCCATAAATAGCATTATTCGCCCTAAGAGATCCCAATGAAATTGGCTAGCGAAGTGGTCAAAAGAAGGCAACTTTCAATGCCTTCAATTAGTTTTGTTCCAAAATTAATTACTTTTTAATATTTAAACTAAAAATGATAGTAGACAATGACAAAACTAACATTGAGGACAACAAATTAGTTTTGGTGCTCAAATTATCATCATATATTTGGGAGGACAATATTATATGTACACGTGATAAAGCTTTTTTCTGAAATCATGATATTTCAGATCTCACACCAATGAAATTATGAAACTTCAACATCTAAGTGGTTTCGCAAATCCATTATATTTCTCTCTTTTACCACATCAAATGTTAAGGTATTGTAATCGAGTGGTTTGGATTTGGATATCATGATTTCAGTGAACAGTCATATTATGCAAAAATATGTAAAATCATCCTCTCAAAAATTTTCTATGATTACCGATGATAGATTCTATCCATTTGATCGCTATAGACTAACGTTGAAAAAATAATTAAACAATCTCAGCAATATATGCCCTTAAAAACATGTCATTTGAGAAGCACATATCTGCTTAACTATTAAATTAAGGAAAAATATTTAATAGGGATTAATGGTGCACCAAAACTAATGTGTTTGTGATAATGTTGCGAAGAAAACATGTTGGAGATTAAGGGGTCGTTTCATTTGTGTTTCGATTTTCAGTTTTCAGTCTCGAGTTCATTTTCGATTCTCTATCTTGAGTGTTTGTTTTAAGATTGCTAAAAAAACGCTTTTGATTTGTCATCTTGAAAAATTGTTTTTAAAACAGAAAAATAAATCTTACAATATTTTTTCTTGTTTCAAAAGTAAAATAAAAATAATAATAATAAATTAAGTTCAAAATATATGAAATAAAAATAAAAATACGACTGGGAATATTTTATTTATGTTCATTTAAATATATTTTTAAAATTTTTTTATGTAAATAATCATTAAGTACTTGAACTTTTTTATTTTCTATTTTTCATAATTTTTATTTTTATAGAATTTTTAATTATTTTATTTTATTTTTTAGAATTCATCAATTTTTATTATGTGAATTTATTTTTTTGAATTTTGAAATTTTATTTTTTAAAATTTTAATTTTAGAATTTAATTTAAATGAAATTTTATTAAACTTTTGTTTCCCACATTTTTAGTGTGTTCAGAATTTTCACTGAAAACATGCAAAACGATAAAAATGAATTAGTTTTATGTTATAAATTTATCATTATTTTCGAAAATACATTTTCAAAAATAATAAACTGAACACATTTTCAATGTTTTGCAAAACTAAAAACTAAGAACAACTCTAAAACATAACGCACAATAAGTTGTGAAAATGCCTATATAAGTTGGGGACCAAAGACGAAAATTTCTCCTAATATTCTAATTTCATTTTTCAAGATTCTATGGCTGCTTTGATCATTGTGACTGAATGCCGTTACGTAAAAAGTCCAAACTCTGTCAATTTCAGTTAGAAAAACTAAAGAAAGTAAAAAAGTTAATATAATAGAAAAATGCAATAGAATCAAATAAATGAAAAATATTTACCTAACATTTACAAAATTTTCACATTTTTATTATTTTAAATTTTGTGAGACAAGACCCTGGAGATTTTAGTAATAATGGTCAAATGTGAAAGACCTCAAATCATTATCTCTATCGAATTTTATTAATAAATGACAATATTATTTATCATTCCAATGACTATATGATAAACAAAACAGCACAAATATGGTAGAAATAGCTGGGAATTTCAGAGGAACGGCAATGGAGGATTTGAAATTACGAAGTCACAGTTGGAACATATATTATGTTTTGGGTTTTTTGCTTTTTGGTAGCGATCTGAGATTTATCTATTCAGATAACGTATTAAAAAACCTTCTTTAAATTTTCATAAAATCTTTGAAATTAATATATTTCTCTTCGATTTTGGTATATTTCATGTAACATGCTTGTACGATTCTAGAATATAGGTGATAATTCTTATGAATTAATATTATGCAAATGATGTACTAAAAATCAAAGATCTACTTTAGAACATGTATAATGCACGTTGAAAGACAGGTGCAGATCAAATTTTAAGTGGAATAATTTATTTATTTTTTCTTTTTCCTTATGGGTTGAATTGTGTTAAACTTTGAAACATCAAAGAACTTTGCTACACGTACAGAATCTGGTTCACATAATTCATACAGGTGGGCTACTTGGCAAAATCTATTTGAAAGATGGCAAAAAAATAAAGAAAATTTAACCAAAATCTATTTGAAAGATGGCAAAAAAATAAAGAAAATTTAACCACAAAGATGTTGCCATAGCAGCATCTGTAAAATTTCTATGAAAAAAAAAAAAAAAAAAAACATGTACACTTAACATTTTTATCAATCTGTAAAATTTTCTATAAAAAAAAAATTGTAAAATTTTCATCCACAAATTGATTATAGAATTGAACCAATTCAAATACAAATTAACTAAGTAATTGATTAGACTTGAAACCAATGAATTGCTGTTATAATTTCATTCAACTTGAATATATTATTCCTAGAACCAAAAATGTTGAATAAAATAATAAAAAAAATAAACATTATATGCAATGTTTTAAAACCTGGCCTGGGCATCGACTCGGTGAAGAAAAATGGTTGATGATCAAAAGATTCAACTGGGATTGAATCGAGGTTAAACCGGAGGTGATCAATAAATATATATAAACATTTAAATTTTATTTTCATAACAATATTTAATTAAATTCTTACACCATCAATTTTAAATTAAATACAAATATGTCAAATATATGCTTTTAATATAAATTTTAATAGTTTTTATTTTATAGATCACTTAAAAACTCATTTCGATTTTACAATATAATTTGTAAGATTAAAAAAATGTTTAGCAATCTATAGAAATTGAGTAATTTAATTTTTTAGTCATGCGCTATGTGGCCATAAATAATATTGAAAAAGTGTGCTTTATTAAAATTTGTCAATCCCATATTGAAAGTCTATTGAAAGCGTGTTTTATTAAATTTTGTCAATCCCACATTGAAAGTCTATATGTACCAAATGCACTCTACGTACAAGTCTTTCCCATTGTTTTTCGACTCCCACAGGATTACTATCGTTATTGTGTGTGTAAGCAACATGTGAGGCTCTATTGAATATTGGAAACAAGCCTAATAATTAAAGTTTGGTATTATCACAATCAATACTAGATAAAAGTAACGATAACTATTGATCTCAAAATCCGGTTGGATAAGTGGCCGGCAAAATCGTGACTACCTCTTCGTCTACCTAGGATCACTTGCACACCGAAACACACCGTTAATGACACAATCCGTCCTAAATCACTCTGATGAACCCAACACGTGTCGTGAGTCGATGGTAGATACCAACTAAGTATCGGACCCACCACCAAGGCATTGTGTGTGTGTGTGTGTGTATATATATACAACTCTCATTTTGACATATCATCTATATATAAACTATTATACAACTCCATTATATACAAGTAACATTATACGTGAAGATCCCAATGAAATTGGCTAGAGAAGTGTTCACAAGAAGGCAACTTAGTCAATGCCTTCAATTAGTTTTGTTCCAAAATTAATTATTTTTTCATATTAAAAAAAATGATAGTAGATGATGACAAAAGAAACATTGAGGGCAACAAATTAGTTTAGTGCACAACTTATCATCGTATATTTGGGGAGGACAATATTATATGTACACGTGATAAAGCTTTTTCCTAAAATCACAATATTTCAAATCTCACACCAATGAAATTACGAAACTTAAGCATTTGAGTGCTTTCACAAGTCCATTATATTTCTCTCTTTTGCCACCTGAAAAATTGTAATTGAGTGGTTTTGATTTGGATATCGTGATTTGAGTGAACAATCGTATTATGTGAAAATATGTAGAATCATCCTCTCAAAAATTTTCTTTGATCACCGATCGCTATAGATTAACGTTGAAAAAATAATAAAACGACCTCAGTGATATATGCCCTTAAAAATATGTCATTTGAGAAGCACATATATGTCTAACAATTAAATTAAGAAAAATATTTAATAGGGATTAACGTGCACCAAAACTAATGAGTTTGTGATAATGTTGCGAGGAAAACATGTTGGAGATTAAGGGGTCGTTTCATTTGTGTTTCGATTTTTAGTTTTCAGTTTTGAGTTCATTTTTAATTTTTTGTCTTGAGTGTCTATTTTAAGATTACTAAAAACGTTTTTGGTTTGACATCTTGAAAAATTATTTTTAAAACAGAAAAATAAATCTTACAATATTTTTTCTTGCTTCAAAAGGAAAATAATAATAATAATAATAATAATAATAATAATAATAATAATAATAATAATAATAATAATAATAATAATTAAGTTCAAAATATTTGAAATAAAAATTACTGATGTGGACTGAGAATATTTTATCTATGTTCATTTAAATATATTTTTTTTTAATTTTATGTAAATAATCATTAAGAAATTGAAATTTTTCATTTTCAATTTTTCATAATTTTTATTTTTATAGAATTTTTTTATAATTTTATTTTTTTTTTGGAATTTTATTGTAAATTTTTTATTTTAAAATTTTTTTTAGAATTTATCAATTTTTATTATTTGATTTTTTTTAATTTTAAAATTTTATTTGTTAGATTTTATATTTTACTTTTTAAATTTTTATTTTAGAATTTAATTTAAATTAAATTTTATTAAACTTTTGTTTTCCATATTTTCAGATTTTTCACTTCAAACATTAAAAACGACAAAAATGCATTTGCAGTTTTGCGTTATAAATGTATCCTTGTTTTCAAAAATACATTTTCAAAAATAATGGACCAAA